TCTTGACTAGCCAAGGGTTCTCGTGTCGACGAGCGATTGTTCCTGTTACAGTATTCTAATTATAAATACTATAGGTGGCCTTCGTGCGCGATATAAGCTCGAACTAAGCCTTAATAACCTCTAGATCCTTATATAAAGCTCTTTATTATTTATATTGCTAATTAAACTATATAGTAAAGTAATTTATTCGCTTAACAAAGTTGCGTAGCTATAATTAACCAACGATATTTGCTATATCTTGTATAGCATCTAGGATAGGCGCAAACCCTCATAAATCTAAATTAAGTATATACTAAATAATTATCTCTTCTTCTAGCTGTATAAGATTTTTTTAATTTAGGCTATTAATCGCGTCGCATAGTAATTTTTACTCGTTAGTTTTATAGTATACTTTAAAAAACATTATATATTACTATAGCGCGTTATTTGCTTTAGATTTAGCCTTAATTAATAGATAAGATAGATAGGAAGACATCCGCTTTGTTATAAAGTATTTAAGTAGGAGGTAATTAAGCTATTATTATTATAAGGTGACGCGTTACGAAAAATTTAGTAGGATAACAGCTCGCTAATAATAACAGCTCGCTTATAAAGTACGTTACCTTTAGAAGGTTATTTTTAGATAGTATTAATAGTAGTAGTAATAATTAAAAAGTATAAGTTAGTATTGCTAAGAAAAAGTGCGTAGCTCGTTTGTAGAATACGTTATAGAAAATTGTAAAATTGTAAAATAATTCTAAGAGATATCTATTTATAATGCGACAATCCTAATCTATTTAGCAGCCTGTACCGTCTAAGTTTTAGAAACCGTGTCACACATTGGTAAATCAGACGCTGTCATCTTGGTGCACGCCCCCAACGCGTCCGCCGTTAATCCGAAGCCCGTCAGAGACGATTCCGGCGATGTTGGCAGCACCTTCGAGTGCGCCCGAGATGCGTTCGCCACGGCCACGGCCACGAGGCTCAGCCTCAGCCTCGCGCTTCTGAGGAGGGTTGAGGCTATCGTGAATCCGAAGCCCATCAGAGACGATTCCGACGCCGTTGGCAGCACCTTCGAGTGCGCCCGAGATGCGTCCGCCGCGGCCACGGCCACGGCCACG